TATTCACCTCTGTGCTGGGCTGAGGTGGGTGACACCCAGCTAGCTAGACGACAAGTGCCTAACAGCACTCTCACCGGCCCTAAGATCATACGGGAAATGACAGAGAAGATCGTTCAGATCCGTCAACGACAAAAAGCATCTCGGGACCCGCAAAAGAGTTATGCGGATAAACGACGCAAACCCTTGGAATTCCAGGTTGGAGACCGCGTATTGTTGAAGGTCTCACCCTGGAAGGGAATGATACATTTTGGAAAACGTGGGAAACTAAATCCAAGGTATATAGGGCCATTCGAGATCCTTGCCAGGATTGGCCCGATAGCTTACAAACTTCGGCTACCGTAGGAACTCAGCAACATGCACCCCACTTTCCATGTGTCCAACTTGAAGAAATGCATGTCCAATGAGACTCTCGTCATTCCACTTGAAAAAAATCGAAGTAAACGAGAGTCTCCACTTCGTCGAGGAACCTGTGGAAATCATGGACAGGGAAGTCAAAAGAACGAAGCAAAGCCGCATACCAATAGTAAAGGTCCGTTGGAACGCCAAGCGAGGACTTGAATTTACTTGGGAACGTGAGGACCAAACGAAACAGAAATACCCACATCTTTTCCCTAGATCTTGAGAACCCACTCGGAATGTTAATTTCGGGACGAAATTCCTTCTAACAGGGAGATGATGTGACAACCGTCAATTTTGGTCAAACAAAGTCAACAAAAGTCAACCATGTCAACTCAACTCGTATTAGAATTTTAGGAGAAATGTAATATTCCCTAATGTTTCTAACGTACTATTGACAAGTTATAATACAAAGTACCTCTCTTGTTGACAATTATTGAATATAAACCCTAATTATGGTTAGTAACGTAAAAATTCGATAATCCAATTATATATTATTTAGGTATAAATAATATTCATAATACAATATAGTTGAGTTCATAAACTTTATGCTACATGACAAATTCATAACAAATGTTAGATATTCAGATTTTTTGGTGAATTTGTCACCAAATGCAACAAATTCTTTACCCGGCTTAAACACTCAAACTTTAACGAAAAGAATTAGGAATCATCCTAACTCTCGTGGAATGTGTAATTATTTTTTTATGATAATGATTTTTATAATAATTTGAATTTAGATGATTCAAATTAAGTAACTATATATCATTTTTACCACAATTTTTATAAAAATCACCAACTCTTATAAAGATTACCCATTATTTTGGGACAAGACGAATAATTATATAAAAGTATATAATTATTATACACCATATTAATACCATGGAAAAGTGATAATTACACATACAAGGGTTTTCATTACAATAAAATGTAAACATGTTGAAACAATTATGTGAGACAAAGTCTTCACCGTACCTACTAGGGTACACACTAAAGTCTTGAATTATAATCAAAATCTCGGTAAGAGAGCGTGATACTTGTGTATAGATATATATGGGACTGGCAATCTCGCACCTAAGCTGCTAGCTACAGCTAGACCGGCAGGTCTGGGGTGACAAATCTCTAACATTCCTACGCCTGAAGAACGTCGCAGTAGGCCAACTTCGGTTTTACCATGGTTGTAATAACTCACATGGGAAATCAACGATACATTTAGTTTACGGGGTAACATGCGTTCAAATGGTTTATATAAGAATAAAACTACGTAATACTATCTTAAGTATAGAAATACTTATACATTTTTGGTCTTAGGGTTTTTAAGACTACAACTCATTTTTAAGGAAATAATGGATTTTCTGGGAACAAACACTATCATTTTACAAGGAAAGAATTGCAGATTTTTCACATACAAAACTCTTATGAACTCACCAACTTAATTGTTGACATTTTTCAAAACTACTTGTATTCTCAGGAAACCGTTAAACTGGTAGTCACAAGGCTTTTGAGGATGGGACGCTATGGCGTCGTACTATTCATTTTGTCATCATAATGTAATTGGTTTTGAAACATACAACACTTGGAAACAATGTAACATTTTCAATTATATTTATGATGGTTATGTTTGCTTTGATCACTATTGTACATTATGTTGTGATATTGTTTATGAAGTCATCCACCCCCAGACCTTTCCGTCATCCTGGTTTGGGGGTATGACATGCGCGTACTGGGTCAACCACCCGAATCTGGTCAAGACCAGCGTATGCTGGGCGTACATGCAGAGTACGCCGCACGTATGCATGCAGAGGCAAAAAGTGATTTTTGGGCTCTTGATTTGTTGGGCCTCAAGCCCACCTGCGGATAAAGGCCTATGGGCCTAGGGTTATGATGGATGGTATTTGGGCCTTAGAATTTATTTTATTGGGCTTGGACACTTTGGGTTGTTTTAAAATTGGGCCTTGGGAGGAAGAGGCCCAATAAGGCAAGGATCAGGGGATCTTTTGCCTCAAGACATGAATTAGGGTTTGGAGCTTGGAGTCATAATGTAATAGTTAATTAGAAATTTATGTTGTGCGATAGGGGGAGCAGTGCACGATTTATTCGCTGAGTACATTCATTCGCTGAGTACGATTTGACAGCCACAGTTTGAGGTGGGTCTCCTTTCGTAAAATTCGTGAGTGGAAGGCACCAAGGCCGGCCCACTAGTTATGATATGGCATGATGATTGTCTTTGAGATAATTATCGATTGTGCATGTATTATTTGATGATTCTGTGAATTATGTGTGATATTATATAGTAGTGGTAGGGGTGAAATAGACCCGGTATCCGGTTGAAATAGACCGAAGGGGCAGGTCGAGTACCCAAATTTGCTCGGCATTATCCGATTGAAATAGACTGAAGGGGCAAGTCGAGCACCCAGATATGCTCGGCACTATCCGGTTGAAATAGACCAAAGGGGGTAGGGCGGAACCCGGATATGCTTGGCAGTATGTTTATTTTTGTATGTGGTATGGTAGGGGAACTCACTAAGTTTTGTGCTTACAGTTTCAGTTTGTGTTTCAGATACTTCTAGCTCGAAGGGAAAAGGGTCGGCATGATTGCATCTCATCACACTATGATTTTCTGCAGTAGAGATTTTGGGACTTATGCTCTGATAATACTTTTCTATGTTTTGTTTTGTTAAAATATTATGATCACCGTATGTTCACATTGCTTTTGAAATTGATGATGTTTTGGGATATGGATTTACTAACTTTGAAAATGAAATTTTTGAGTCATATTTTTAGATGTTACACATCCTCCACAACTCCCTCTCCTAGTTCCAGTGAGGAACCGGTCCAAAAATCCCCTATCTCTTCTTCTTCTACTTCTACCCTACCCAACGTGGATGCCTCACCGGTTACTACTTCCCCTCCTCTCGTATACACTCACGACATTGGCCATCCCATGGTTACTAGGTCTCATACTGGCTCTCTTCGTCTGAAACAAGTTTTCAATCTCTATGTTGTTATCGATGTCTCGCCCATTCCGCGATCTACTACCCAAGCCATATGCGACCCTAACTGGCGGACTGCTATGGATTCCGAGATGTATGCTCTTAATTTTAACCACACCCGGGATCTTGTCCCTAAACCTCTTACAGCTAACATTGTTGGTTGTCGTTGTCTTTACCGACACAAATTTGATAGCACGGGTCATCTTGATCGTTACAAAGGTCGTCTTGCAGCTCAAGGTTTCTCTCAACAACCAGGTCTTGACTTCGATGACACCTTCAGTCCTGTTGTCAAACCTGCTATTATTCGTACTGTTCTCAGCATTACTGTCTCTCGTCGCTGGCTCATTCACCAGTTAGATTTCAAAAATGCTTTTCTGCACGGAGACCTTGTTGAAACCGTCTACATGCGTCAACCTCCCGGCTATGTCAATCCTACATTCCCTGACCATGTTTGTCGCCTTCTAAAAGCGCTCTATGGTCTAAAACAGGTTCCTCGTGCCTGGTACCAATGATTTGTTGTCTTTCTGTCCTCTATTGGTTTTGTAAGCAGTAAATCTGACACGTCTCTCTTTACCTTTCATCGTGGTTCTGATACCATTTACCTTTTCCTATATGTTCATGACATCATTCTCACTGCGTCATCCCCCTCTCTCATCTCCAATGTCATCACTAAGCTCTCATCGGAGTTTCCTATGTCTGCCCTTGGTCCTCTTTCCTTTTTTCTTGGCATATATGCCAAGCGCAGTTCTGACGGTCTTTTTCTCTCTCAAACTGCATTTGTTCAGGAGATTATCTCATGTACGGATATGACTACGTGCAATCCCTGTAACACTCTGGCTGATACGAAATGCAAACTTTCCGCTGCTGGTGAGCCGATTTTTGATCTGACTCTCTACCGAAGCCTTGCAGGAGCCCTTCAATATCTGAGTTTCACTCGTCCTGATATTGCTTATGTTGTTCAGCAAATTTGTCTCTTCATACATGATTCGCGTACCCCTCATTTTTTGGCTCTTAAGTGCATCTTAAGGTATCTTCGTGGTACCCTCTTACGGTCTTCACATTCGTCCTTTAGCCGTCGATCGCTTGGTCTCTTATTCTGATGTTGATTGGGCCGGTTGTCCTACCACTCGCCGGTCCACATCTAGGTTTCGTGTTTATCTTGGAGACAATCTCGTTTCCTGGTCTTCGAAACGGCAGCATGTCATCTCTCGTTCTAGTGCTGAAGCCGAGTACCGAGGGGTAGCTAATGTAGTTGCTGAAACTGCTTGGCTCCGTAATCTCCTTCTCGAACTTTATTGTCCCTTGTCGCGTGCTACAGTTGTCTTTTGTGACAATGTCATTGCTATGTACCTTGCCTCTAACCCGGTTTAGCACCAAAGAACCAAGCATGTGGAAATTGATTTACATTTTGTTAGGAAACGTATTGCGATTGGTCATGTGCGTGTTTTACATGCCCCGTCAGCGTATCAGTATGCAGATAGTTTAAACATTCGAGAACCCCATGTTCAAACTAAGGGGGTGTGTTAAATATATATTCTAGTTAGGGTTGTTTATTTATTATTGTGTGGTATAGGGACCCCCATTGTAAATTAACTTTATATATATACTCATCCCTACATAAGAGGGATTTCCACAATTCTTATTAGATATGATTCTTTATAACTATTTTCCAAATATTTTGTAAAAAAAAAAAATATTAACCATTGTTCCATATATATTATCAATCGAATTTTACACATTGCCCAATTTAATTTATGTCCCCGGAGCCACTCACAAGTGCTTGGCAACTGCATTTAGTCTTAAGTGTTTTGGCTAAACCCCGTGTCATTGAAAATGTGGACCCACACCTATACCTAACAGAATCAACATATTTGCATCAGAAAGAGTAAATAAACATCATTCTATCTATTCATTCATATTTCATATATAGCTAGCTTACCAGGCATATTAGGATTTTGTAATGATCTGCTTTTCCATACTTAACATCTTCAAGGATATCATTCGCAAATAATCAGACTGCAAACCAAATAATTAAAAAAATGACAAAACATGATATGTCAAATGTCATAGAAGAATAGAAGACACAACAAAGTACAAACCTGGCTTGTTGCAGCAGTATAAATCTTTTCTTCAAACCTCACAGCTATTTTCACAAGTTCGTTTAGCCCCTCATGTCCAGAGAATGGAAGATGCCTCTGCAAGGTATCCCGTCTACAACAAAAGCAAAAGCAAAATCATAATTTAAATATTTTAAACCACATCAAATTAAAAAATTAAGAAAATATAAATACATACATTTTGTTCACAATCCTTTGTCGTGAATCTGGTTGCAGCTGAGCCCTCCAATCACTATGTTCCATGCTCTGCATCTTCAATGATATTTTCTGCAAATAATCAACCTGCAAACCAAATACAAATGAAAAGTTTTAGTCCCCAAAGTACATCACCACATATCACACATTCATTCATTCTTCTATTTAATAACTACTTCCATTCCATCTCTACACAAAAACACCAAAAACTACAAAAATAAACAACAAACCGGGCTTGTTGCATCATTATAAATCTTCTCTTCAAATCTCACTGCTATTTTATTAAGTTCATCTAACCCCTCTTGTCCAGAGCACGGAAGATGCCTCTTCAAGGTAACCACTCTACATAAAAGCAACATGAACAACAAGGTTAGCATATAATCAAATGCTTAAAACACAAAAATTTAAGAAATTTAAGAGAAAGACGTAATCTGTAAATGGTAAATACACACATCCTGTTCACCATCCTTCGCCTTGAAGCTGCTTGCAGCTGAAACCTCCAATTGCTTGTATCCATCACCTAAAATAGAACTATATTTGTAACACTCAGAAATGAATATTTGTACAAAACGAAAAGTGTCCATTCCTATCTGGAGCTACAATTTAGTAACAGCACAAAATCGTTGGGGCAAAAGAGTGATCAAATGTAGCGATCTCTAAAATTTGAGTTCCAATTAGCAAATATAAGTTGTGCTTACAATACACTAGACATCAAAATTGACAATTGAGCATATAATCAATCAGAGTTGTGTTTTAATTCTAGCGATCACCAATTAGCAATGGTTTGGGTAAAAAGAGGCTCGTAATTAAATAGCGTACATACCTGATACCAGACAAATGCCTAATTCTTCTTGGAGATAAACCAATTGGACTCTATCTGAAAATCAAAATCCAACAACTCAAAAGTAAACGATCGAGTATAATCAGAGATTGAATCGATTTGCGCGTAACAGGTGGTGTTGCCGTGAGATGGTCGCCGGTGACAAAGACGTGAAAGACGATCCCTACTTCGACGGAAGACGAGACAGTAGAGACAAAAAAGGAAGGGTAGGAAGAAACTTACGAAGAAATTTCGTAGGAGTTACAGATATATTGACTCACAAAGCACATCACCATCTTCTTCTTTTTTTGTTTGTTTTTTTTTTTTTTTTACTTGTCACAATCTGTTTTAATTTTGTAAATTTGTAAAATGTGAATGTTATTTTGAATTAATTTTTATTTTATATATAATTTTATGATTTTTCTATTTTATTAATTCCACATAGTATTTAAATACAATAATAAATATATATTAATTTTCTTAATGAACTTAATAAATGTATATTAATTTCCTTAATGAACTTTTTTTTTAATTTCAAAATTATTAAATTAAAGCTTCACTAATTTATTTTATTTATTTATATAGATTATTTGTTTAAATTTAGAGAAAAAAACACTTTAATTTTTATAATTTAATATTTTTCTCATTTTTCTTATAAATTCATACTTCTCAAATGTTTAGAATTTTATATTTAGTTTTTTCTTTTAAATAAACTCATATAATACATGGGTCTCATACCTAGTTTTCGTAATATTTCATGTAAACACCGAATCTCAATTCACTTTAAAAAAAAACAAAAAAAAAAGTTTCAGAAAATTCCAACAATGGTCCCTCTAGTTTTATTTTGTATAAAGGTATAAAAAAAATTCAATTTGAAAAAACAAGTATTTATTTGAGGGTTTTATTATGGATTTGGTCCATAAAATTAACATACTATACTTCTACTCTTTCTCTGTTAAATATGCTAAGATGATTACCTTGCACTTAAATTTATATTTTCAAGAAATAGACCGAAGGGGATTGCAAGCACCCATATATGATTGATAGTATCCAGTTGAAATAGACCGAAGGGGTAGGCAAGTACCCATATATGTTTGGTAGTATCCAATTGAAATAGACCGAAGGGGTAGGCAAGCACCCATATATGTTTGATAGTATCCGGTTAAAATAGACCGAAGGGGTAGGAAAGCACCCATATATGCTTGACAGTATGTTTGTTTAGTATGTGGTGTTTTGGGGAACTCACTAAGCTTTGTGCTTACAATTTTCAGTTTATCAAAAGGGAAGAGCTCGGTATGACTGCATTGCACACACCACGGTGTTCCGCATTTTATATAACTCTGATGTATTTAGATGTTTATTGATATACTCTAAGTTCACTATGGCTTTATGATATTGTTTTGGATAATGATTTTATTAATATAAAATTTAAATTTTTGGTCTTAAATTTTGGGACGTTACAAGTTGGTATTAGGGCCTTAGTTTGAGGGATTCGGACATACCATCGGGTGTGTCTGAACTCAAACTGAGGGTTTGGTATAATTTTTCAAAAAGAAATGTTTTATAAAAAGGGTTTTCTAATAAAAGAAAAAGGGTGTGGTGCATGCAATCGGCCGAGCTCCAGTAAGTTTTCCCAAAATACCCATATATGTTTATGATATGCTTTTGATTTATGAATCTGTGAATCGCATGCTAGTTAAGGCTAAGGATCTGCTCTGGATTTGCATGATAGAATGCTAGGAGAGATGCCTTTATATGCCTATTGTATGAGCTTTTAGACTTGCATACTAGTACTGATCAGTTAGTGATAGGATGGCCTATTTAGGTTATGCTTATTTCGATTACTCGATGCTCGAATGTTGCTTGCTTTGTGCTTTTAGGAGTTTCCATTAACCTCAACTAACTAGTAAGCGAGTATATTAAATTACATATTGTTGAGATTAGATAATTTTAGAATGTTAGGTTTTAACTCTATTGCGCATCTCTTGTTTGAGTCCAGCCGTTGTAGTGTGAGACCTTCCATTTGAAGAATTATCCGGTGTCGATGATATGTAACTGTATTCGTGAGCTAGATAGAGGATGTTAGGGGATGTTCCTTATTCAGCTGATGACAGAAAGTAGTGTGGTGGTTGCCCCAGGTACATCGGTCCTCTTCAGGGTTTTGGCATGGGTGGGCTGGGTTGCTTATCGACTGGATCTTCCCGAGTTGTTTAGTTAGATCCATAGCGCATTTCACGTTACTCAGTTGCAGAAAGGTTTAGTGAATGGATTGTCCTGATATGTGATGCCTTGTAGCCTAAGAGGAATTGGATGTTATGCTAGATTTGAAATCTTTCTTGGTAGGAAGCGAGATTGAGATGTCCTTTGTTTGGCTGTGACTTGGAGTGTACTGCACAAATGCTGCTTGCTTTGTGCTTTGTGGGACTCATGATGATGTGAACTAAATATTAAGTGAATATATTAAGTCACATGTGGCATAGGTTAAATAATCTTAGAGTGACGGATTTGACCCTACACCGCAGCTCTCGTTTAAGTCTAACCATTGTAGGGATGAGTCTTTCACTCGAAGGATTATCTAAGCTTTGATGCATGTGATTGTATTCATGAAGTAGTTAAGTGACATTAATGGGAGTTCTTCAACAGCTGATGCAGGGTGAGGTTGGGAACCTAGGAGAGCTTAGGATGTGTTGTAGTGGGTTGGCCTGCGCTGTGTAGTGATGGGTATTCTTTTGAGAATGGGTGTATAAGAATGGATAGGACGGATGCGAATAGGAGTGGTTACTTAGAGGACCCGATATGATTCTTGAGGAAAGTATGGACATGTGTGGAAGGTAGTATTGAGCCCATACTACTGGAAGCATAGGATCCATACTCGACTCGAGGAAATTTGGGGGATTCTAAGGAACTGGCTAAGGAAGGTGACACGGTTTGGCACCATGATTCGTTGCGGTATATTTTCGCCTTTATCAGTTTATCAAGTATGATCGTCTAGGTTGAGGATGGGTCACATGATGGTTCGGGCCTCAGTGGACATGTCTGTTGGGATTCAGTGGTGCAAAAACGTGGAAGGTAGTTGATTCCGAGGTTTAGAGGGCCTTACTCAAAGTAGTGACAGTTGAGTCGTGGGACTCAAGAAGGAAGCAATTGTGAGGAATGGATCGAGGAATCAATCAGAGATTTAGTGATGGGCAGATGGATTAGGATGTAGTCCCAACACGAGTCTAGAAGATTGTGATTTTCTTTGTCGACGGGTATAGCAACTTAGGAATGCACATAAGGGTTTTGTGGTGCGGTTGCTTTGAGATAAGATCAGGGGTCTGCTTTCTGAAATTAGTTAGGTCAGGTGCTAGTTGAATGTTTCAGGAACCAAGGGAAGTGAATCAGTAAGAGCAACTTCTGTTGTCTCTGAGGTATCCTGACTATGAGAATGATGCTTCTTATAATTATGGGTAATGCTTGCGACGAATTGTGTGTTGGGAATTAGGCGAGGTGTGTGGTAGTTCATTTGTTTCTACATGGAAAATTGGTGTCATGAGTGGACATTATTATTGTTTTTGCATCTGCATGGGATTCTGATATTAGAGGTGGTTATGATTGGGAGGTTAACGAGGTTTCCATATGAGATGTAGTATGTTTGCAACGTCATTTGATAGTAGTTCAAACCCTAAGTGAGGGAGAACCGGCTATGGTGGTTGAAAGATCATTGCTATGTTTGAGTTTATGACTTCGGAAGAATGGGTCTTAGGGATTTGCGGTTCGGGTATGCGGAACTTTGTTTAAGGATTTGGTCAGGACGGAGGTGCAGAGCAAGTTATCATCAGATGTATGTGTTCAGGAATGCAAGAGTCATCTTATTGACAAGAAGATGTTGGATAAGGAAGCTTGATGTAGCCAATGTTTCCTTTCAAAATGCTGCTAAATAGATCAAGAGGCGTTGGGACGCTCAGGTTTAGCGTCGAGTGCTGGGGGAATTCCTCAACTCGTTGTATAGATTGCTATCTCTGTTACAGGGTGGGTAGTGTTGATCGGCAAATCATCTTCAAAGTTTGTTATGTCTAGTCTCACGTGAATTTTGGTGCAAGAAGTGTATTGGGTTATTGGGTTAGTTGCCAATGCATTGTCGATCATTGGTCTTCTTGTTCATCATCAAAAGTGGAGGTCCTTCGGAATTTTCGAGTTGTGTCAGTTGAAGATCAATGGATGCGTCAACATATCGTCGAGTTCCGTATGTTTTATATTTACTATGGTTTCTGGGTATGCTTACCCTCAACCATGGTGTGGAATTTTGGTTCATAGCAGGCTCAAGTTGGCAGTTATCCTTGATTATTGGAGGTTCGGATGTTGGGGCAACGTTTTTCAGCTTTCCTGTTTTGGCAGCATTTCTTGATCGCCTTGAAAGTTTTCTCGAGCTATTGGGAATTGGTGGAATCTATTCGGTTTCAATCAAGGTGTGGGAAATTGTATCAGTCGTTTATGAGGATGTTTCTATTAACGGTTGAGGTTCGTCATTTCGTTAAATATGCTAGTACCTCACCCTTTGGGTAAGGATGTGAGAACACGAGGATGTAGTAGATCCAGGATTGGGTATGTGTCTCCCCTTGGGGGCGTACTTTATAGTAATTCCTCGATTATGGACGAGAGGGGTACAAGTAGACTGAGTAAGATAACTTGAGACCTCTTGATTAGTATTGTTGGCATGGTGATCATTTGGGTTATAAATTTCGAATCGGGACAAGAGTATGATTGTCTATCTCCTTCTCTGGTTGTGTGCGACCATGTTTTCGTCTAGTTTACGTTGGTATCAGTCTGTGTTGTGTAAGGAACTATGTATGATAGAAGAGTATGGTCCATGTTGTGTTCGAATAGCCTTGAGAGTGATGTCGTTTGGGTTCCCGCAAGTCGGTGGACTGTTGGTTGGGTATCTTTAGGTCCCTGTGGGGCTGGCGCGATTCTTCAGGCTATGGATGTGGTGTCGACAAGATCAGTTTAGTGCTGTGAGGTTATCGTGTAGTGGATAGCAACTGTCACGATGTACTGTAAACCAGTAGTTATATGATTTATATGGGTAAGACCCAATGGTCTTTTGATTGAGACTCTTAGGTCTCAGATCGTTAGCTTTCCTGGCTTATTTGGGTGTTAGTGCACTATGGGAGTCGGGAGATTCGGTGATCAGCTGGTTTGGATCATGTGGGTAGTTAAGGTTGTTAGGAATGATGTTTCTGCACCAGTAGCCGCTTCCAAAGTGTTTACATTGTGAACTTGGGTTGCTTGAGGGCTGTCTATCAGGAGTTCAGTT